ACGTAATAAAACAGCTGCCCTACCCACTAATAAGGAAAGAGGTAGTTTTACTTGCCCAAAATCATAAAAAGTACAGGACAAATAAGCCTACTGGACCTATTTTCACAGTTACCGAGTTAAGACTAGTGAGGAGAGACTGCTAAGTGTTCTTAAATACCAACTTCTTCCAAAGTACATTCATGATCCTCCATAAACTACGAGGGATTCTAGCACAATGCAATAGACTTGTTGAACGCAAGTCCTTCTCCTGTTCAAATAAGATTATCGGTATTCCACTCTGGAAACATGAAAGCCTTCCAAATATTCACACAGTGATTTTGCAAAATTAAGTGCAAAAAACTTGTGAGGAATCCTTTCTAAAACAGCCTTTCGCTTTCTTACCTCTACAATAATGAAGTTCTGTGGATGTACAGTTGAGCAGAGATGCTCTGCTCACAATAGTAAAGAAACACTGGGTGTATAGTTGGTGGGGAGTTTAATTGGGAGTCTGGGGGGACAGAGTGCTTCTTCTTGGGAAGCCTCAAACCTCTAAACAGATAAAAGAACTATTAATACTGTCGACTGCTGAATCAGTATGGAGACCTAGTATTTGATTCAACTCCTTTCCAAACAGAAAGGTTTATATTTCAACTAATGTTGAAAAAACATATTCTTTAAATATCTTCAGAAGACCCATCTGGGAGGCCAACATGAGCTGCCCAGACTTGCCAAATTTTAGAAGATAATATATTGCCTTCATGGTCAATGTGAGAACACTTCATACAGAGGCAGAGAAAAAGGTAGTATTGCCAGCACAATCTTCCCCTTCATAGTTAATAGTTTATAAGGTCTGTTACTTTATTTTTTTTTCTACTTTCTTTACCTTTAATGACTATATTAATATGTTAGGATGATAGTAACGCTATGGTATGATGCAAAGTGATCCCACTGATCAACTGACCATATTATTTTGTAACAATACTATGCCATAGCCTAGTTGTGCAGTCTATTTACATACTAAAATATCTTCCACTACAAAGTTCCTGATGCATCTTAAATTTGCAAATACAGGAATTGCTAAATTCTGATCTCTTTGAAAAGAAAAAGTAAAAATCACTAACAGCAAGTTAGGTTATAAATAACTCTCATTAAGCGGCATGTAAAATTTACCATATAAAATACATTATACAGTCCTTTTAATGATCAGGACTCAATTTCCAAATATTTTTTTTTTTAAATTGTGTTATAGATGACAAATCCATTGTGTTTTGCTCTAGAATTAAAAATAATACCATTACTTGGAATCAAGTAATAAAGAATAAAAAATTATCCCTATATTTTGGGTTTCTCCACAGATTTACAGCATTATGAGTAATGAAGGTTTGATATGTAAGATTTAGGAGGTACTAAGCAGAAGAGTATAAATGTAATGCCATTACCCAACAACATTTTTAAAAGGGATAATATTCATTTTAGTAAAACTCAGATTCATATCTATTTTTACCAAATGTCTGGTGCAATCACCATAGACTAGTCCATCAGCACAAAGCTCTAGAAATAAAATAAAATATGAATGAAGAAGATTCCTGTAACTTAGCATCTACTGAAGAACCTCAGTTCCCCAGCATGCAAGTAAATAAAGGATATGTACACATGGGCTAGGACACAGAATCACAGAATAGTTAGGGTTGGAAAGGACCTTAAGATCATCAAGTTCCAACCCCCCTGCCATGGGCAGGGACAGCTCACACTAAACCATGTCACCCAAGGCTCTGTCCAACCTGGTCTTGAACACCACCAGGGATGGAGCATTCACAACTTCCCTGGGCATGACACCGCTGTTGAAGCAGCCTAAGCAGGCTGCTTGAAGGACCTTAATAAACACGTTAGCTCCGAGACTTAGTTTAGTGACAGACATGAGCTGCAGCTACTCACCAACTACACTGCAGCAGCACTAAAACTGCGTTAAAAATTCTTCCTCCCCAGTTACTGTAGGCAAAAAGTAAACATATCCTTGTATATAACCCAAAATGTTTGACTCACATAAAAATTGAGGTAGTTGATATTTGACATATGAAAAATATAATTTCCCTTCCCCCCACCTTTAAGGCAGAAAGTCTCCTATTTCTTAATAAAGAGCTCATTCTTAGTTTTTGCACAAGAAAAAGATGTGAGAAAATAGCCTCTAACACACACCCAGCCTCTCACTGCTCTGCATGAAGGCACAGTTCTTCCCTAGACTTATTTCATTATTTTCAACAGATTTGTCAGAATGATCAAGATCTTTCAAGAGAATTGAATAGTTACAGTTTTGCCTGTACAAAGTACTGAGAAGATCTTAGTTAATACTATCATGCTAATAAAAACCTTTACAGGCAAATCTGACATTTTAGAGGATATTAAGGCAGCTAGGTTTGGGTTTTCTGGGTTTGTTTGGGAGGGGGAGGGTTGGGGAGTAAGTTTTTTCGGGGGGGGGGTGTTTTTGCTTGTTTTTAATAGAAGATCATAGCTTGGTTTATTAGGTTTTGTACGGGTTCATTTCTGAATGACTATGTTCCTTCTCACTGTGATCTAAAACTCTAAGAAACTGAGCCAATGAGCCAGAAGTCAGGGTCATTATCTTCTACATTAATCAGTCCTGTCAGTTAAGTCTTAAGCCTTTAAATACTTCTTTTCACACTAGATTTCCAGCTCACCCTAGGAGTAGGATATTTAAAGCCCAGAAAGATACACTGCTCTCTGATCAGAGAAGTAAATTACAAACACAGGCCTTGCATACCTTTATTTTGAGCTAACTCTGCAAGAAGTTAGATCACATATGTTTAAAATGCAGTTGCGCTGTTCCTTTAACAGGAGGCAACATTTGAATCACTAATTAAATTGCTAATCAGTTTTAAAACCAACAAATTAGTAAATTTACCAATTATATAAAACTGAAGGATGTTAAAAGAACTTCTCCACCATGTTATATTTCAGGATGGTAATTGATCAGTGCTTCTTACAAGTCAGATACTTTTCTAATGTGTTCCTGTGCAGGTAGATTAACTCATAATTTTAAATACTTTTTTTTTTTTCACAATTATACTTCGTGAATTACTGAAAGCCATCCATGCTTTAAAAGCAGTCTTGTGAAGCATTAGGACCATCCAGCATATATTCCAAATGAAGTACCAATCAATAGGATACAAGCACTCTACAGAAGAAATAAAAGCATATTCCTCACTGAAGTACCAGCCTTAGAAAACTTCAAACAGTGTAAAAATAAATATGCCAGTGTATTTGCAAATTGCCTCAGAAGAATCAGTATCCAGCACTTCCTCTATGCAGTCACTCTTAAAATCCTTGGGGACACCTACTTGTCACAGAATAAATTATCTGGCTAATATCCAGTATTACAGTATATGTTATCGGGCACCCAGGAGACAGGCATTAAAGAGCACTTAGCTTCTTCAGCCTTGCAGGGCAGTCCTTACATAAATGACTTTGCCCAATTACAAAACATAACTGATGTACTTATTTTGGAGTTTTCTACCAGCAGCCTTTCATCCTAAAACATTTATACAGCACAGAGTATTTTTTTTTTCCAAAATCACAGATCCCAAAGTACAGTACACTAAACAGGTTGTTAGGGTTGGGTTTTTTTTCTAACATGAACATAATTTCTTAAGATATTTAAACGAAACAAAAATATCTGAACACTGTTTTCGGTGTTCTCAAGCACCAAAGAAATGCTCATTAATAAAACTACTGGGGAAGCAAGTTCTCCCACAACTCTAACAATAGCTCTTCTTTCCGAGTTACTTAACATAAGTAGACAAGTTTGCATCCCACATGCAATATATACAGAAAGCTAGAAAAAAACATGCATCACAAGCATGCTACAGCTCTCAGAATAACAAAAGAGACTTCTTGGAGACATTTACTTCAGTTCGCTATAGCAAACCACAGCCACCAACAAGCTGTAGCACAAGAAACCTGTTGACTCTGAAGTTGCAAACCAAATCAGTGCTTCACACCAACGCAAAGAAATCCAGTAGGCAACAGGGGAAAGCTGACCAAAAAATTATTTCACAAGCTTGGAATTTAGGTTTTTTAATGTGACACCAAAGAAAGCCGGATACTGGTAACTCAAGGAAAACTTCCACTGAAAGAAACGTGAAGGACTTGCGAAAACCGACTGGGCTTTACTGAACTGGCAAGAGAGCACGAATTGAGCGCAAAAGCGAAGCACTCTGGAGGACGAGGGCCACCTTTCAGTAGCAGGTTTCGTAACTGACGAGGATTCGAGTCAGACTGGGTCTGGCGTTCACTCCGTGCGTGGCGCTCCGGACGCACCATTCATTTATACGACTTACCTCCTTACCTAGCAGGATTCCCTGCCATGACCCGCGCTCCGACTACCCCGCAGGCCCCCGTCCCCCAGCCCGCCCTCCCGGCACTCCAACAGCGGCCAGGTGAGGCCGGGCAGTCCCGTCCGGCGCACGCTCCAGGTGCCCGGGGCTCTGCCCTGCCATGCCCAGCGGCCACGGGGTGAGCCCCTGTTTCCCCCGCCGCGCTCGGCTTCAGCGGGGAGCAGGGACGGCAGAGGGGGCAGGGGTGTCCCTATCGCAGCCCTTCCCGCAGCCACCGCGGATCGGAAAACGAGGAGGAGGAAGAACAAACGCAACTGCCCCCCACACACACCTCCGCCGCCTTTTATCGGCTGGCGACCCGCAGGGCAAGAAGCAGCTCCCGTTCCCCGGCTCACTGGGCCGCAGGGGTGCTGGCTGGGCACGAGACACACCGGGCGGTCCTCGCCGCGTAGCGGCGGCAGCGCACCGGGAACTGCCCGGTGGGACCTCCCTCGTCCTGCCGAGGCGCCGCGGGGAATTAAGAACTGAAACCCGGGGAGATGGGGGAAGTTAAGGTGCACCCCCGAACCTGGCTGCCCGAGGGATGCCCTCAGAGAACGGAACCCGCCCGCCGCCACAGGAGCTGGCGGGCGCGGCTGACGGCCGGCAGGGTGCAAGGGGCGAACTTACGTCTCGGAATTTGTTCCACTGCCCGACCTCCTTGTCGTATTGCGAGATGGTCGTGAGCCATTGTTTATCGTCCAGAAAATTGCCGCTGTCCGGTCTGCCCCCGGCCGCCGCCGCCAGCGCCGGGCTGCACCAGGCTGCTGCACACACGCACACCAAGGCTGCTACCTTGAGCATCTGGGCGAGAGGAGACACGAGGACGGTGGTTACCCACACCACAGCTGAACCCCTGCGGAGGGACCGGGACAGTCGCCCGCAGCAGACCCCTTCGCCCACCTTGAAGGGGACAAGGGCTGCGAAAGCAGGGGTAGAGAAAGGGGCGGCCGCCCAACCCGTCACCTTGCTGCCAGCCCCGCACCCGCGCTCCTCGCCGCGGCCGGAAAAGCGGCCCGCTCCCTCTCCACACGCGCCGCCGTCTGCAGCCCCGCGCCTCGCGCTCCGCCCGCCCCCCGGCCCGCCCCGCTCCGCCCCCGTGCCGCTCCGCGCGCGCCGCCGCCGGGGCCGCCGCGCCCGGGGCTAGCGGCCTGCGGGAGGGGCTGTGTACGGAGGTGAGTGCAGCCGGGCAGAGCTGAGCTACGGCCGCTGCTCCTCCCGCTGCCGCCGGGGCAGCCGTGGGACTGGCCGCCGCCGTCGCTCCCATGATGGTCCCGGTGGGAGCCGCGCTGTGCAGCCCGCACCTCCAGGCTGGGGTGGAAGCCGCTGAACTTCTCTCCAGCGGTGCGAGCGCCTCGTACCCCAGGTTAAGCCTGCGGGAGGCTGAGGCGGGTACAACCGCTAAGAACTCCCAGTGATTTCGAGATAAAACTTGATGTACCTTAGGGGAAGGGAGACGCACAAGCTCTCCCATCGGCACAGGGTGCTGATTTAGGTACATCCTGGCATTGTAATGCTGCCTGTTACTCCCTTTTGTAGTGATCATGCATTCCCTTCCCCTCTTCCTGGCTGTCTTAAAATGCGGCTATATAGTAACTCAGAGCTCTCAGTGACATACAGTTTCTTTCTCAAATTAGTTAAACTTAATTTAGAAATGAGCAAGGTGCAGAAACAGTTCGATTACCTTCTGGCACAGCTGACTCAATATTTAATTTGAAATTCCATCTGTTATCCTGTTGACCTAAATCATCTAATTTTGTAATGTTAGCTTTATTCCCTAGAATTGAGTGACATTCTGCTTTTTAGGTTTGTATTGGCTGCAAAGTTTTGATAGCAAGGGACTGCAGGGCTGACCTCTGTGGAAAGAGGTACAGGGCTGCCCCAAGTGCTAATTCCTGCCAGCTCCAGAGTCAAGCAGGGCTGGTGGTGCCTCTGTGAAAGCATAGCTAATAAAGGGCAGAAAATTCTGTGTGGAGAGAGGAGATGGGAACAAGAACAAGAAACGAAGGAACACCAAGGTCAGAGAGAGATGAAGGAGGTGGAGGAGATGCCCCATGGCAGAGCACTGCAGCCCAGTGCTGCATCCATACTTTTGCATGTACCCAAAGTATCTGTGGTGATCACACATGGGAGAACATTTTCCTAAAGGGCTGCAACTCATGAAGAAGCCATGCCAGAGCAGAGCAAAGCATAAGAAGGAAAGAGCAGTGAATTAAAAACGTTACATACTGACTGTACACCTCTACCTCCCCCAGTTCGCCCTGTGCTGTTCAGGAAGAAGAGTCTGGAATGACGTGGAGCCTGGGAAAGTGGGAAGAAAAGGTGTTGGTTTAGTATGTGTCTTCTTATTTCCCGCTACCCAAATTAGCAATTACATTTTTAACTAGAAATAAACTAATCTTCTCTAAGTCAAGTCTGTTTTGTTTCCAAGAGTAACTGTTAGGTGATATCCTTGATTTTATCTTAACCCATGAGCTTTCTCATTCCAGTTCTTCCTATTTTCTCCTTCTGCCCTACTGGTGGGGGGGCTGCAAGCAACTGGGTGGAAGTTTGGTTGTCGGCCAAGGTTAATCCTCTACAAGGTTGCCAAGTATGTTAAGAGAACACAAAACTTGTAGTGCGATATCTGAAAGTATTTTCCATGGTAAAAACTGAGAATTACTTTCAGACTTTAAATGAGGGCCAAGTCCATCAAGAGATTTTCAGATGATAAGCAACGTCACTTCATGCAAAAAAGAGAAGTGAATATGAGATTGTGACTGATCTTAGCAAGTTGTAAGTTTGGTCATAAGCTGTAACTACAGACAGATAGTAAAGAAGGAATTAAATCCACTAACCTGCATCTTACACTAAATAATATGTGCCCTTTTGTTCCTAAACCTGTATCACTAAAATCAATGAGAATCTTGTCACAAGTCTGACATATCAAGAGGATGATTGCCAGATTAGAATTTATGTGCCTGACTCTGAAAATGTTACCTATCCAGAATGATATTATATTCTGTAATAAATGAATCATAAAATTCAAAGCACAGGGATAGAGGGACTGGACAGAGGCTAAATAAGAATCAATAAAACAGTCATGTTATTCTCAGGGTGGGTTATAGAGTCAGTCCTTCATACAATCATTCTCTGACAGTCCAGTTTGCATTTGTCAGTCTTTATGTTAATTTCCTACAGATTGTTCTGTCCTTTGGCAAAGAAGAAATTTATCTATAAATGATTTTGGGGCTTGGGGTTATTTGACTTTGATTGTGTTTTTTTTTTGTTGGTTTTTTTTTTCAAGAATCACATATTTTTGAACTTTTTTAAAAGTATCACAATCCCCAAATTTGTGGTTTCACTTACCAAGCAGTCAAGGTAATCTATTTTGGGCTTGCTTCATCTGTTTCACGTTTTCATCCAGATAAAATTATTCAGTACTTTTAACTTAAGGTGCATCTTTCCGTACTTGGGAGAAGATGAACAAAAGTGCTGGGATTTGTGTTCAGTAACAACCCCTAGAAAAGGGAGCTCTGGTATGGTTTGGGTTTTACAAAAGTTTCACTGCAATTTCTCTGATCTTCCATACCTATGACTGCAGTTTTTCCTGACAACACATACTAAATGATCAATTATATGTAATTTTGCCTGAACCAAGCTATTTGAAGCCTTTAATAATTCTAAGTGTATTCCTTATAATTTTAAGCACTCTGATCTCCACATAATTGGTTTAAGAGCCTCATTCTGATCAAGGACTTTACAGTAATTCCATTTATTCAAGCACACAAAAAATGATACTTGATTGAAATGGCATTTTGAAGATACAAAACTAAGAAGTTTTCTTTTTTTCCTCAATAATTTCCCTGCTCTTCAAAGATTAGATTTATGTATCTAGAGAATTATTCTTTATTTTAAATGTACATACATTTCTCGCAGAAAATTTATCTGTATTGTTGTTACATACTGACATGCCCAACAATAGCATCTTTAAAATGTGACAGGGAATCCAGTACTGCAGTAGTGGTAAGAGAATAATGCTAATGGTAACAGGTATTTAATTTTAAACAGGGAGTTTAGAAATTCTAATAGCTCCTTCATCATTGTCCAGTTAAGAAACACTGCTGTTATTAATAAAAAATGATCTTCCTTCTCAGTTTCAAAATATTATGTATTTTCCAAGTTTTCGGTAATACTGATTTTTCAAATATTACAACTTACTAGTTTAAAATCATAACCATTCAGGTTGCTTTACTTCTGACTAGCTGATGGAGCCTACAGGGAGAGAGCGAAGATGGTGCAGCTGGTAATATACTTGTAGAAGATTACAAGATTCCCCTGAACAATATGCATGTTGCATAACTAAAAGGATGGAAAGCTGTAAAAAGAAGGAGCGTACATGTAAATAGGTATTTTGTATACACATCTGTATGTTACATGAAAGGTTGTTAGAATTATGTAAGAAGCACCAAGAGATATATTGGAAGAAAAGTTTGCACATATAGGTTAATGATGAAACAGAACAGAAATGCTGCGAAGTTACTAGGAAATACAAATACATTTATACCCTGAACGCTCTGTCTCAAAAGTGCTTTACCTGCCTTCCTGAATGTGTTCATTTGAGGCACTAAGGCATGGAGTTAAGTTTATCCAAATATAATAACATACCCCTTGCACTTCAAATGTTTATTTTTAATTATGCTGAAAGGAATCCCAAGAGAACATCTAGCTATCTCATTGGCCACAAACAAAAGCAGATACAGCTTATCACTCCTGGCAGATGTAGATCTAAATCTATTTTTAGACCACAGGGTCATCATTCATGGTGTCTCTGTCAGTGAAGGAAACTCCAGACTAGTCTATGTCAGTGACTTTTGCTAGTCTAACTTCAGAAGAGGTTTTCTATACCTGAAACAAGCTGTTCTTGTTGTAATTTAAGTTTATAAATTCTTATGGTGAATCCTATTCACCAAAACCACAAAGAACAAATCGCTATCTTCCTCTGTTCAGCACTCTCTTCTATATTGTAAACTACTGTAACCCCTTTCTGTATTTCTTCCCTGTGACATGTTTATTACCACATTTTTACCCTTTTCTTTTAATCTTACTACACCATGCTCTTGAGACCTCTGATCACTCCTTCTATTACCCTGTTGAATGTTTCAGATCTATCTGGCTACCTGTTTTTTCATCTTCAGTATCTAGAACACTCGAATACCCTGTCTATGCCTCCCAACTGTTGAACAGAGCAGAAGGATTACTTCATAAGCAGAAATTATTTTGGCTGGGTATGATTTGTTGAGTCAAATACATGCTGAATGTTATGCATCTTTTTGGTATATTCCAGGCATCTAGTGATAGTGTACGGAATTACCTATCCCTGTATTGCCTAGAAACTGAGAGTAGGACAACAGAAGTTTCATTTTCTGATGCTTTTTTCAACCTACTCTTTCAAAGGTCCCTTTTTAAAAACAAAAAAAAAAAAAAAAAAAAGAGAGAGACCACAAACAAACAAAAAAAACCCCACCAAAACCAGAAACTTTTAATTTGCTCTTTTGCAGTCACCTGGTACCCCACTTGTTCTCTACAGTGTCTCAAAAGTAGCTGCTAACAATTCTGAGATTCTTTCAAACAATTCTGTAAATTAAAAAAGCACATTTTTACACAAATTGCAAAACTGAATTGTTACAAAGTCTTATCTAAGCCCTTTCTTTTTTCTTGTCACTGCTGTGATAGCTAACTACCTACATGCCACTGATATTTGGTACATAGACTTATGATTGTTTCTTCCATTTCACTGCTTACTACATTCTCCCTCCCCAACAGGGCACCTACCTTTCTTTTACTCTCTTTATAGTAATATATACTGTGTTCATAATGACTTCTCCTCAGAAGTCTTCTGCTAGCTGTGTATTTTTACTGTGGAGTAAATGCTCCAAAATGTTCATAGATCTTATTCTTCATGAATATGATTAGATTGCTAAACATCTGTGATTTCTGCTGACACAAAAAGACAGAAACCACAAAGACCCAAAGAGCACGGAAACTCAGGTGACCAAGAAATCTCCATCTGTGATTACTGACAGCTTA